CTACACCTGCACCGTCTACAGCCGGAGGCAAAAGATTCTGATGAAGAAGGAAGTGCTGCTCACTGTCAGAGGTCAGTTCTGTAGATACAGGTCAAAGGTCAGATTCATTGTAATAGTGTGCCAAGTATCAGTTGGCTCAAAGCTCCTCCGTTCCTTCAATACACAAACTTTTTCATGTCCCATCTATAGTCGGTCATTTCTGAGACTGGAACCAGTCAGAACGGATTTTACTGGAAATATTTTAACTTATCCAGTCAACAAAAATCATTTTAGTGCTCATGCTGTCCTCACTAAAGTTTGTTTAGAGACAACATAATTTTAGCTATTGTTCCCAGCACCTTATCGTCAAAGAAACAGGCTGCTTGTTGTGATTCAACGATGGAAATAAATTCTCTCTCTCTTTTTGTACAACTGTACAAAGAAAAGGAATACAAAATACATCATAAAGAGAATAACATTGCTCTAGTAAAAGATACTTTGTTGTCATCTCAGGTGATAAGGTGGAGGTGGATTCAGGGGTGGAGTCTGTCCAGCTGATCTGCAAAACCACAGTTTTCCTGCCTAAAGACGCTAAAGTGGAGTGGAAGGACATGAAAAACAGGAAGGTCCACGTGTATGAGAACGGCTCTGACCAGCCTGAAGAACAGGAGCAGGATTACAGAGGCCGAACGAAGATGAATGAAGACCTGCTGAAAACTGGAGACCTCAGTCTGACCCTGAAACACCCCACAGAGAGCGACACAAACACCTACACTTGTACCCTCTACAATCAGCAGGGAAACATCCTGATGAAGAAGGAAGTGCTGCTCATTGTCAGAGGTCAGTTCTGTAGATACAGGTCAAAGGTCAGCGTTTATTTAAAATGATCTGAGCAGTTAAATGTCAAAGAATCTAACAGATATAACCAGTTTGAACAGGTGACTGTTGTCATTTTTACATTATTAGCTTTAACAGTGTAGTCCCATCCCATCAGGTGTCAATTACCCACAAATAAAAATAAGAGCGTTTTCTTCTCTCTGTCTTCCTGTCTGCTTCTGCTCATCATCATCAAATGTGTCCAGTCAGAAGGGATTTTACTGGAAAAGTTATCCAGTCAAATAAAACATTCTCAATGCTGCTGCTCATGTCATCATGTCGTGCTTTGTTTCTCTCAGTTCACAAGGTGGAGGTGGATTCAGGCAGGGAGTCAGTCCAGCTGCCCTGCAAAACCTTAGTTCAAGTGTCTAAAGACATTAAGGTGGTGTGGAAGGACAAATACGGAAAGGTCCACGTGTATGAGAACGGCTCTGACCAGCCTGAAGAACAGGAGCAGGATTACAGAGACCGAACGAAGATGAAAAAAGACCTGCTGAAAACTGGAGACCTCAGTCTGACCCTGAAATACCCCACAGAGAGAGACAACTCCACCTACACCTGCACCGTCTACAGCAGGGAGGGAAACATCCTGATGAAGAAGGAAGTGGAGCTGAAAGTCAGAGGTCAGTGGTGTAGTTACAGGTCTGAGGTTTGAATCTTGCTTTCTAAGTAGTTGTGATGAGTAGAAATAAAAAGTTAACTGAAGGCAAAACTGGTTCCCAGTGAAGGAGCCAAAGTGAACTGACTGATTATGGAATTTTAAAGTGGCCCTAAATTAATATGAAGATAAGAAGATAACTCTTTATTGTCATTGCACAGTCACACAACACAACACGATACGACACATCACAACGCAACACAGTATAATAACTTAGTAATAAAAAAGAAGAATACGCTGTATTTGTATTGCACTGTATATGCTGTGTGGGAGTGATAGCTTTGTAGCTTGAACCCATCCGCTGGAACGTTGAGGACAATATAATTACACAGCAAAGCAAGACACAAGTAGCCCACAAGTAGGCAAAGTTCTTCAAGTTT